ACTAAAGCCTGTGACTAAAGTATTTTATTGTACTTTTTGCACGTTTTTGCACGTTTTTTGCTCAAAAACCATAGAAAAACACGCGTTTTAAAGGTAAAAATAGAAAAAATATATTAAAAACTGTAAATGTGGAGGAGCAAGTTATACCCCGTGACTAAAACCCGTGACTAAAGTACTTTATTGTACTTTTTGCACGTTTTTTGCTCAAAAACCATAGAAAAACACGCGTTTTAATGGTGGAAATAAAAAAATATATTTTATTATAAAAATTAATATTACATAATTTATATAATTAACTTTTCTTTCAGATAAAACACAAAAAGTTCCAAAATCGATTCTTAAATTTTGTTTCAACCAATAATTCATCCATTTATCTCGTTAAAAATGGCTAAACTTTATCACACGAATCTCACTAATGACTAATGACTAATGATTCCTTTCTTCCCCGGCGCGCACCCGGAAAACACCCCACATATGCACCAATAACGATCGTTCACTAACTACGCGCCGAAGCAAATTTGCTATCAGTTATTTAAAACGCGCGCAGTTCGCGCTCACGCCTGACATATCTAAATCTGAAACTGTATTTCATTGTGAAATATTGGATTAATTTCATAAGAGATTAATTCTAAACGGCCGCATCGGGAGAACACAATCGCGAGGGGGGAAATTATTGAAAAGTCGGCAGAACTCTGGGTGGGAGTGAATCCCGGACCATCCATAATCGTTTCACAATAAAAAAATTGGAATAAAATGAATTGAATTTTTATTTTTATTTTTTGAAGAGTTTACTTTTAATTTTTAAATAAGCAAAACACGACACAGCTGATTTTTATATTTTTTCCCTAAAGTTTATCTTCTTTCAAAAAACGAAATACGAATTGGATTCTGATTTGTCATTTGATCCCCATCGATAAAATCAAACGAAAATGAGCGCAGCGCGTTCGAACGCTTTTTCATTCCGAGTGGATTTTCTCTCATCTTGACTGTGCGTCTCTCAGACATGAGTGGCGCTAGCAAAAGTCAAAACGAACTGATTTATACGCCATAATGCCATCGTCTTGTCGTATACATTCGCCTTTGAACCGACATGGAACGAACTAAAGCAACCCAAAAAAAATACATACGAAACAAGTCGGTGTATTCGATGGACACGACGGCGGAGTTTAATATAAAAAAGAAGGATTTTGATGAAGCACGCGTAGACAACAAAAACGGCGATGGGTTGGTTTTCGGTATTTCAGCGTCAAGCTCGCGCCAAAGCTGGAACTGAAGTGGTGGTTGTGGAATGAAAATGATTTATGGTCGACGCGCGTTGGAGGCGTTTATCTATTTACGATTCAAAAAGCTCGGATAGTAAAGGATGAAATACACAAAAAATGTCATTAGCCCGCTCATTTTCAATGCTGGTGCCGCGCCAAATGCCCGAAAAGGTTAAAACTAAGAAAACGCTAAATTTGAGAATTTACTCTGCGTTTTTTTTTGTTCGGTGTAACAAGAAAAAAAGAACAGCACGTAACATTGAAGAAGGTTTATGTATTCCTGCGGACGTGACGTTACACCACGACGGCGACAGAAATATGAATGGTACACCGAGAAAGATAATCAAATAATTCAGCAATATGGGCTGTGCGCGTGACGCCGACCGGGAGCTGGTGGAGGCGCCGGGCCGAACGAAACTCACCATTCAACACTCAAATGCACGAACGCTTTGCGCATTTTCTAAGGCTATAAATTTATTTTAGCACCCCCCAAAAAACCAACCCTTAAAAATTTCAACCCTTAAAAAATCCACCCTTCCAGAAACTTTTATCATTAATGTTTTTGCATTTATTTTTAAATCTATATTATTTTGAGTAGCCTGTAAAGGGCTGAAGGAAATGCATTAAAATATTTTTATGGCATTTTTATAAATCACACACGAACGATGACAATCTCAAACGGGGCGTCGATGTGGAAATAACATGGGTACCACAAAATGTGTAAAAATTATCTGATTGCAAGTTTCAACATTGTGTTAAGTAATAACTTTATAGTGAAACATATTTTATGAAACATATTTCGTTTTTTTGGTGGCGTAGAATAAAAATAAAAGAAAGAAAAATGCATTGTCAAAAAGAATTCATATCGAAGCTCATAACGTTGAACAGAAGGTTTAACCAAGATTAGAATCAACCCACTCGACCGCAACTCGATGCCTTTTTGGCACTTGCATGCCCCGCACCCAACGCGCAATATCATATATCCGGTGGCGGCGAGCGATGAAAAATGGATTAGGGGTTGACTTAATTTTATGGAGTTATTCGCGCTGTTCTTTGTCGAAATGCGACTTATATGAAGCGAAAGAGATCACAATGGCCGGAGCGGATTATTTCCGAGCGGAGACTTATGCGCTAAGAACGCCGGCGCGAAGTGAAAACCCCGAATCCGACCGCCACAGGCGTTGGACCAAAAGTGAAGTGAACATCTTATCGTTTTTGGGATGAGATGATGCAAGATAGTGGATCGAAGGATGGATGGATGGTTTATTGGCACGTAAAAAACCATGAGAATTTTTTACCAGCACGAGTAATTTAGATATTATCTATTTAAATAGATTTTGAGTAGTTTTTGTAAAAAGTGGCGCCTCCACCAATTGTTAAAAATTTTGGTGGAGCCGCCAATTTTTAAAATTTTAATTTGTGATTTTCATGATATAATAAATGAATTCCCATTGTCACGGTAGAAATATAAATCTTGATATTATCCAATTATTAAATTACCATAAGCCAGCAATAATTGCCGGCGCGCATAATGTTTATTGGAAGGATTATCCGCCATAAAGTGAAAAGCGAATAAAGGCAGCCGTCCCTCTCGCCGAATGCAATTTCGGGCTTTTGCGGCATTGAGTTGTAATGTCCCGTGTTGGCCGTGTACCGCGCGCGCGCCAATGCAGCGCCATTAGCCTTTGTACACCGGCCATTATGTCAATTATCGATGTCCTTGCGTTCGCGCGGCGCGATGCTTTTCGATCCTCTTGATAGTCCTGATTTTGGCGCGGCGCGCACTGCGACACCACTGACACCGGATTTGATTTGCATGAATGTATTGGGAAACTCTAGGCTGACCACTTAATTAAACCAATTTTCTACGGATATTAACGACTGCTGTGGCTGCTTTTATTTACAGCAATAGATCGATATCTTTGGTTTTGTAATTGGGAAATAAGTCAAAATCTTTCGAAAATTTTATTAAAAAAATAAAAAAAATTTATTTTTGTCATTTTTTCAACAGTTTTGAGACATAGAAAGTGGTACTTTAACCACGGGTAGTCCAACCCGTGACTAAAGTACTTTAATCACTACTATTACACTTTTTTCTATTTTTTCTCCAAATAAAACATTAAAATCTCTCTCCCTGTGACTAAAACACATTTTAAACACTCAATCAGCAATTTATTCTATGAAAAAATAGCGAAAATTAACATTTCTTACAAATTATGATTATTAAAGACATTAAAGCATTCTTTTAGCCGTTTTCATACGTTTTGCGGCTTCATGCATAAACACTTAAGCGGTTATTGTCTAAATATAGTCGACTATAGCATTCCGCTCTTCGCTTTTTCGCCTTTCCGCTGGCAAACGCCTAGTTCTTCTCCTTCTCACGGTGTCTGTTCTCGCTACGAGTAGCGTGGCGCCCAATCAGATCGTAAAGGATGAAACATCGTTTATGTTGCGGTTCAAACAGCTTAATAATACAAAGTTACCACCCGTGTGGGATTAATAAATCTCGTCGGACGGCGCGCCGTTTCGCTTTTCGCGTTTTGCAACTTTCGGACGTTCGTACGTGCAGCGCGCAAAGCGTATGCGTTTCAGAATCAGTTTTCGGAAACATGCACACAATGTACACACTGGGATGGGTAGATACCAGCGTGTTATGCTATGCGTAAATCATTCGCAGAAAAAGCAAAAAAACAATACAACAAAAATGTTACATGAATTATGAAATACAACAAGATGCATGCACACAGGAATAAACTGACAAGTTTTTGTTCAAGTTAAACATTTAATCAACAGAAAACAATGGTAAAAAACTAATCTACGATTATTTAGAGCTTTGTTTCTATTTTTCTTTATATTTTGACGTAAAAAAAATTAAAAATTTTATTTTAAACAATTAAACAACTAAATTTGCGGTCATAAATCACTGTAATACTTTAATAAATAACTAATAAATAATATATATTTAGTTTTAAATTAGTAAATTATGAATTTTTGTAAAAATTCACCACAAAATCATTTTTAATTTCACATTTCAATCCAAAAATACAACATTTTCAACCACAGAAATCACATCGTTTGTTTCGTAAATATTCCGAGGTCATATTTATTCCAATAATGCCCGTGCATAGGTACTTTGATTATAAATGACGGTGCTACAACGCCAACTCCTCCGCTGCTCCATTTTAATATTAAAATGTAATAAAATATGGTAATAAAGTCAAGCAGATATTATTAGTCCATCCTCGACTTGTTTCGCAATTCTTACGTTCCGTTCTGTTTGATATTTTCCTGTTATGATCATAATTCACTATTTACCTTTGGTACAATATTAACTTTAGCGTCCTAGCCGACGCAATATAATAGTGAAACTAAGGGAGCAGTTTTCATGCAGCGATGGCGGCCAGAAATGGCAGAACGCCGCCCGCAACGCAAGCGGAAAACTATAAAAATGCCCTCGTTGAATTGCGCCTTTATTTCGTTTAATAACATTTCTATTACGACGTTTGCGTCTGCAAAGGCGACCTTCTGTTTGCTAGTTTTGCGGCCAAGCTAACTTCCGGTCGGAAGCGGAAACTACCCGACAATATTACATTTACGACGATTTTTATACATTGCCTTCGACGAATCTCTCAAGCGGCGCATGGAATATGTGTGGTTGATTTAATGATTTTGATTGCCTGCTTGATGTATTCATATTTATTCATTGGTCTATTTTTATTTTACTCTTAAAAGACTTACTTTAAGTAGATGTAGTTTCTCATCGACCACCTCACGGCCTGTGGATGATCACGTTGGGAGTTTTTAAATCTGTAACAAGAAAATAGAATTTTAATATAAAATATTAAAAATTTAAAAAAATCATTTTCATTGATTTTAAGCAAAAATTTATAAAATTTTCTTTAAAATTTAATGATTGATTTAACAGGGCATAAATTAAATTTAAACCATTTTTTTAAACACATAGTTAAAAATATTTTCCCTCCATTCCGCTCTAAATCACCAGAAACTGAAATTTTATGGCCATTCAGAGGGCAAGGAATGAATTGGTGGACAATGCACGTACGTCGGTCATAAATGAAATAGCAGCTGGTGTGGGCTCACTTCTAATTCAATTCACATCAATGTTTCGAGGCGAAAAGCGCCGAAAAGTAGTAAAGACACAGCAGCCCCGGCTAGTGCGATCAATAACTCGTCTATCAATATCTATAAATTCCTTGCACTCTGCACTTTACACTTTGAATTCGAGGCGAAAACTAAAAATACCGTGCGAAAGCACAAAACACTTAAAACTGTCTTTTATTTAATAAATTGAAGGAAAAATGTAATTATTTTATAGTACGTAGTTAATAATTGGATAATTAATTAATTTTAATAAATATTTACGCATTTTGAGTGAATATTTATCAATTTATTTAAAATTAATTTAAAAAAATTGATTTCTATCAATAAATTCACAATAATTTTACTTTTTAAGTATAAAATTAATTTCTAAAAAGGTTTAAAAGTATTTTAATTTATTTTTCATGTTTCTGATTTTTTCTACATCCAGTATTTTACGAATAGTAAATTTTTGCCGAACAACATTTCACCAACTCGTAATTTCTGCACTAGGAAAAAGCTTTCGGTAACAGGAAATCAAAAAAGTAAAAAAGTTGCAAACCAGAGAATAAATTGATCGCCAGAGAGAAAAGAAATTAAGAAAAAAAGTTAAAGAAAACGAAAAAGAAAAGATTTGCTTCGAGTGGTATTTATCGGCAAATAATTTGGCAGTGCGGGAGACCATCTAGCATTCCAGCAATGAAGCTCAAACCTAAGTACTATAGTACCATCACACTGTATTATCACACTGTATTACCGACAGCTACGTCAACATCAAATCCAATTGACTAAACTATGGAGACTGTACACTATACTTCCATAAACTATACTTTCACCAATTTTAAACTTCCCGCCATTCTACTTCATTGTTACTTCTTCTGTGACTACAGACGCGTACGGAAGCAACTTCATTATTTTAGATATTCGCGAGAAAAGCCGCAGGTTAAAGCTAGTTTATAATATAAAACAATAAATTAGATCAATATTGGATTTTTTTGTCAGTTTTTAATGAATAAAAAGCAGTATTTTTGATTTAAATTAAAAAATTTAAAATTTTTGTTCTTTGTTCTCATTTTAAGCGGTTAAACTAATCACTTAAATTTATCCTCTTGAATTTGCAAATAATTCAATTCATTGTGGTTGACTTCGTCTCCATGTTAGAGAACAATGAGGAAATCGTTCGTAATTCAAATCAAAATCGTGGCTACTCGGTCAGTTTAAACTTCTCTCAGCTTACAAATTGCAATTCACTTTGTCCTAACCGTCGTGCATCTATAACGCTTGATTCTCGAATCGTCCACAATCCTTGCCAAATCCGTCATGCGACGCATTGTTTTCCTTCTCCAACGAAAACAGCATCTGCGCCAGCGGTCGCTTCCTCGTTCGACTCGCGTTGGCGAGTTGACATCGCCGAGTTCAAAATGCGACACCAGAGCTTCGAGGTCCTGAACATTTCGAGAGCGAACGTAGAGAATGATATACCGCTCGCTGGTTGGTTTATTTACACATTACGGACGTGACTGCACACAAGTTGGTGACGCGGACGGTACTGATGACATCACGTCTTATAAAACGAGCGATGGAAACTCAGGGAAGTTAGAGCAGAGAAAAAATGGGGTGCATGCTTGGACAACCAGGAAAGACGAGGCAGAAAGTTAAAAGTTTTGTATTAAAATTTTAGGACGATTACGGCCACCCTAATAAATATCAAGTTTTTTACTAGTTTAGAAAATGTAAGTGTTTAAATAATTAAAGGTAAAATGTTAGATGGTCAAAAAATTTGTTTTTAGACACGTAAAACACTAAATTTTATTTTTATTTTTTTATATTTTACTTATAATTTGTTAAAAAATTATGATATTCCGTATTAAATAAGAAAAAATGAAAAAAAAAAAAATTTTTTTCTTTAAAATTGTGACACAATATTTTGTAATTTTGTCACTATGCAAATACCGTTTGTAATTGCAAAGCGGGCCACAGACAATACCATAATCCGATTAACGCAAATAAATTTAAAGGTAAAACGCAATGCAAGAACACAACTTTTCCGTTATTTTCCAATGGTGGCAGCGCGAAATGATGCCCAGCTTGTGGCAATTAAATTAAATCTGCGTATCGATGCATTAACGAGGGATAATGGCGCGTAATTAAAATCGGAAACCCAAGCAACAACAATTATATGAGAATCGTAAACAACAGATTTCAAAAGTAAACACATTTCACCCTCAAAAACCCCAAATAAACATTTTTAAAGTCACAAAACACGAAATATGTAGATCTATACAACATTATGTACTTGAAACACAAAAAATAATAATACTGCTGACCAAAGCAGAATATTATCAAAATAGTAACCATAGAAAAAAGCAACCCTTTCAGCGGAATTTGAAATTCCGGTTTGGAATCCGTGTTATTACACCCAAAACAACATTTTTGTAGTACTAGTCTAGTTTGTTCGTAACGTGTTTTAATCGTTGGCTGCCACAGTATTTGTACTCTCGCGCATATCAACACCGAGGGGGTAGTATAATGCTTTAATTAAAGATAGGACAAATTCATATCGAAACATCTGTTTGCCACAATCACATTCACATTCGCAACACAACATTCTCGTTGATGTTTAGAGAGTTGTGTTTTTTTTTTCGCGGGGCGTTTTTCAACGCGTTCATGCATTTTCGATGTTTTTTTATTTTATTCGGGTGAACAATGCGGTCGTTTTGTATGCACCGTCGCGCGCCGCCGATTAATTTACGGTGTATCAGTCGGACCGCGCGCGTATTTGCATATTTATAACCTCACAGCTCGTGGCGGTGGTGTGGCCAGTGATAAACTAAATATTGTGTGCATTTTGCTATTTCTACTGCGTTTCAGTAACTGGGCCAGTATTCCAGTATTCCAGAGTTCACCGGTGATATTATATCAAAACTGGTTTATATTGTTTTACATTTTGTGTGCAACAAAACTAAATAATATTATTTTTTATGTTTTCAAAAAAGAATAAGAAAAATTATTTTTATTAATTTACAAGTTCAATTGATGTGTTTGTGATTTTTTATCAAATCAATTTCAATATTAAATTAAATTATGTGGATAATAAATTTTCTCTTCAAAGAGTAGAAAAAAATATTTCAATATCGCAGACATACATTTAATATGTATAATAATATATAAGGCGATATAAAAATAATAATTTCTGCACGAGCGCACGCGAAAAGGAAACTTCTTTTTTCGGGGCTGGAATATTAAAACGTTTAAACGCACACGAGTCTGTCCGCCGGTCCGGACGTTTCCGGTGATATCCTGCGTGCGTTTTTCGATGGTGGCAGCGCGCCGCGCGCGTTTCCATTTCTTTTTATTCGCTAAACTGCTTTGCCACGCCGTTTGCTTGACGCGCGCGTGCATTTTCGTTTCGCTTCGTTTTTTAAATGGTTGACGTCGTTTTGTGACCCGTTCGAGAACCAGAGCGAATTCATGGAAGAGTTGAGCTTAAAATAACGTTTGCACATCTTTTTATTCAACATCATCTATGAAATAATGAGTATTTGTAATGTATGATGAAAAATCTAAGATTTTTGTTTTATTTTTGAAAAAGTTGAATTTTTATATGTTGAAAAGTTAAAATGGTGATTTTTCGAATATGTGCGATATTCGTGATGTGTGCTGATTGTACGATACAAAGTTGTGGGATAGTTGGCAATTCAGAGCACGATTTCTATCAAGAAAATCAAACGAGAGCGCGGCCCAAGACAGAATTCATTTTACAATAACGCTTATATCACGCTTCGGCTTACTCCGGCTGGTGGAGGCGCCGGGCCAATTGAATATGTACCATTGTGTGTGGTACTCATTGGCAATGCAACAATCGTGGAGGATTCTGCGCGTCTTGGCTAACACGAATTCAATTGCAGTGTTGCGCATCGCACTCTTCATCATTGCACGCCGCAGATGCAGTTTGCACTGCAATCAAAAGGTGCTTTCAGCGTCAATGGGAAAAAGTCACGTTTTATTAAACTAAATTTTTAAAAATTCAATTTTTACAAATGACAATTTTGTGTTTTAGTTTTAATTTGATGTCGAAAAGATATTTATGTCTGTGTAAATGTCACATTCTTGCAAACATGTGTCCCTTCTCATCGGCGCGTTTGTACCAAGCTATTGTCCCACATTGGCGCAGTGTTTGCCGGATTTCTGTACGCTACACGCTCTGGGCTGATTTATGGCGACCGCTTCTTGAACTGTCTTCAACAACGCCGGCGCGCTTAATGTGCTTTAATTGCATTCGAATGAGACCAGTCGAAGCCGGAATGCGCCCGACGACGAATTTCACCCGAGCACACTTGAACACACTCCGCACGGATAGGGTTTGCAAATGGAATTTTGCAAATTGCCACAAATAGATGAACATTTTAGATTTAATCACAGCCAATGTACGGATATACTCGTAATTAATTCCAACTAACTTTTGACACATTTAAAATCACTTTTAGAGCAAAAATTGTTTAAAAAAATTTATATTGTTTATATTTGTTGTTCTAACATAGTAAATTTGACATGAACGAAGAAATTAAAACGCGATCGCGTTGAATTAGCCGTCATCAACGCATCAGCACCGATTACCGCATTTTGAAACACGCTCAGCGTACATAACCTCACTCGCACACGCATATAATGGCGCTGGAGGGTTCAAAGTTGGTGCATGAAATTGCTTG